CATCTTTTAAATCAAATCAGCCTACTAAAAGCAGTCTCCCCAAGGTTTACACGGAACATAAATGGAGTCCCAGACATAGTGTGTGTGTCCAGCTTCCCCCCATAAAGAGCTTGAGAAACAATGCCCAAGTTTGTTTATAAGTAGCACAAGCTGCTTGGCAAGCTGTGTCCCTCCGCTCTCTCCTCCTTCCCGCCCTGATCCTGTACCCCGTTGCAAGGGCACAGCTTGGCACGGTGCTGTATCTCTTCCGGGAAAGGCATTTCTACATGAGCCAATCCAGCATTGCTGAGCAAGATCACTTTCAGAGGCAGCTCTTTCTGAAGGCAGCGTCTCCAAGAATGGTGGGAGAGGCGGTGGGGGAATGGATTAGGCAGAAAATCACCCGGATTCTCAATTAATCCGCAGGCCTCTAGAGAAGTGCGGGCAGGACAGGTGAATTTCACAACTACTGAGAAAGTTGTTTTGTAGGCAGGTGGCTGATAGAAACTAGTAAAGTGATGAGATATATGTGAAATGTGTGTGAGTGCGTATGTGTATATACATATATATATAAATGTACATAGAAACATACCTGTGTCAGGTAATAGCATTAGTTCCATGTGTAATCATCTAAAACTAGTACTAGAAGCACTATTAGTACAAAGGGAACATTTACACTACATACAAAAATAAATATTCTCAATATAGTTGACTTTTGTAGCTATATTCCTATTGAAACTACTTTCCTAAAATTAATTTTCTTATATATTTTAAAACTAAGTCTATCCCTTTAAAACAAATTTTTTCACACAAACACACACACACACACACACACACACACACAGACACACATATACACAAAAGCTTCCTTCACAAATATATCTCATTTTCTATCTTCAGTAAAATTATTGGCTTCCTAGTCTCTGGCATTATTGCTAATAAAGAAGAGAAAAAGGTGGCAGAAATATTGTAATACTGTGTGTTCGGCTGTGTGCTTATTTTCACCGAGAAGCTTATGGAAGATACTTCAGGGGGAAAAAATGTCACATTTATTTTACAGTGTTGTATTCAAACTTCCAGTTTCAAAGTATACATTTTTTTTCTCAGAGCAAGTAAGTTGCTATAAGTGATTTAGATTTTAAGTTCCTCTGGCAGATATCTGTTTTGCAATTGCTGTGAATTTTCTTTCTTTCTAATTATCTCTGTGTTTTCTTGATTTGCAGCTGGAGTGCTGATGAGTGTTGTCTGTTTTGTACCATATATTTCTTTGTACTTACAAAATGTCACGAAGTTATTAAGTAGAAGGACTGTTTATGTAAGATTGTTCCCCTCCCCCAGGCACTGCTCCAACGTTAAAGAGCTGATAGTAACAAAAATTGTACATGAGTGAAATGTACACAGAGATGTGTATCATCATTTTCATCCCTTGTGTGAAAAGTATCCATCTCACAAAGGTTATAAGGTTTTTAATAAAAGGAGTAAAAACTTCAGGTAATTTTAAATGCCTTTAATACCATTAAAGGAAAACTTAATTCCAACCACTGAGATTTATTTATAATTTTACTTTCCAGGGTAATGGTGATTGCATCTGAACCATGTAACGCGACTGCCCTCTTCTGGATGTCAAGTGAAATAGTAACAGCCTGAAAGAATTTAGAAACCGATTCCAAGAGTTGATTATTCCACCATTGATCATATGTTTCTGTCTAGGTAATCTATAACGATAAAGAAATTTCCAATTGCATATTAGAAACTGAGCATGATTTTAATTACAGACTAAATAATCAGACTTTATCATAACACATAATGAGATGCTTCTTAATTTTTTTAACAGCATTTCTGACATTGGTACTATTTTCTTATGTTTGAGACCCGCATGTCAGACCCAAGTGTTCAAATAAAGATCAAGTGAGGAACAAGAATTACTTTGATATTTCCACAACTTTTTGAAACTGACTTAAAGTGAGCCAAGCATTAGTTAACCCTGTATTGAATTTGGAGGAAGGACTTACGTTTATTGAAACCTCTCGAAGTAACTAGACCATTTTTAGGGCTAAAAAATGAAAGGAAACTTTTCTTAAATTGAGAAAAAGAAAGAGATATTATATAATTCCATAATTCAGAGGGATCTTATCTGGTGTTCGGTAGGAGACTTATCAGTGGGATATTCTAGATCCATTTTTTCCCTTTATCTGTATTAGGTGATACAATCTTACATATTAGTATCATAATTAAAGAGCTGTGGGCTTCTTTCTTTTTTGCCATTTTACGTCTGAAAAATGGTATGACAAACTCAGGATGATTGATAATTCCAGATAGAGAGTCATTAAACGCCAACAGAAAAAAAAAATGTACCCTCAATTATAATTGTGATACTACGTCAAACAGATAGAGGAAATCCTAATTCTGAGCTCTATTAAAATGCACTTATTTCAATTTCCAGTTGCTATGTATGTCCTATTAGCAGCCTGACATTTTGAGTAGTACACTAATTCATATGAATTGGGTTTTAAATGAAAGCTTTCAAGTCAACCTTTATGGAACACTGAATGTGCAATAAGCCCAGAATTAACAAGAGAATGAGGTGATACTTTTTCACCAAGCCAGCTTCTTATATGAAGAAGCGAAACCTGAGCACTCCAAATTATAAAATGCTTTCATTTCAAGGACCTCACCCATAAGTAAAGCACATGGTGATTTCATCATATTTTTCTCTAAAGACCTATTAAGTAGTTAGGAGCCGATATAATTCTAGTCTGCAATTAGAAAATTAAAGGTCAGAGGTTAAGTGTATATCTTGCCAGGTAGGTCTCACTGGTTCCCCACCTGTCAGGCATCAGAATTGGGGACAAGTTCCAAAACATCACACAAAGTGAGCTAAGCATACATATAATTAGGCAAAGCTTATATAGGCCAAGGTCAGCAGCAGAAGGAGCAGTGTTCCCCAAATGTCTAAGTATCTTCTAGAAAAGCTACTGGGCCTGCAGTGGAGTTCAGTAGAAAGACCCTTCCCTCTTGTGGGTTGTTTTTGATGGGGCAAGGCTAAGAAGTGCCTTGAGGAAGGTAAGGTGGCCTGTTCGGCCCCAGACAGGCTGGTTCTAAGGCGCCCAAACTTTGGAGAACAGTGAACACTGGCTGGGCGCACACGGAGTATGTGGGCAGAAGGATATTGCAGCCCCTGTGCTGAGGCAAACAGCCCGTCCTCCTGGGAGAATATGAGCCCTGCTTTCAGCTAGCTTGTTGTCCAGGCAACCCCGGAACTGGTTGCCAAGGTCACATTTGGCCAGAGCTGCTCATGGTGTTGATGGAAGAGCGCTGGGCTAGGAGTCAACTTCTTGCCAAGCTGTAATCACTATTTCTACGATGGAACCATTTCCTTTTTCCTTCAGTTTCTTCATCTGTAAAATGAGGGACCCAGATCCAGTGCTTCCCAGGGCACCTTCCCAGGTCCAAATCCAAAGACTCTTGCTAAGTCACTTGTCATTTCCATTAAGTGATATCACTCAATTGGGTGCCCTGCAGCCAATATCCCCGTGAGCGAAGGACACTAATTAATTGCGTGACAAAAATCTAAAGAGTAATAAAAAATTTTATATCAATTTTTCCCCTCAGATACAAGATTGAACAAAATGACTGCGAATCGTTAGATTTTACGGCGTGCTCACTTATGTAATAAATCTGGTATGACCTGAAACTCTCTCTCTTTTTTCCAGTTAATAAGGTTATTGGTTTCTATTCCTACAGACAGTCTCTTCTGTCCAGAACCAGCAGAAAAGGCAAGTCACTGTGGTCCTGGGCTTCAAGAAAGAAATTGCAAGCCCCGGTGGCATCTTTAGCTGTGACATTAAAGATGCAGCAGGGACAGGGTTCCTCCGGTGTAAGGGATGCTGGAATGGCGAAGCTGCATCCTCTGGAATGAGTCCTGTAGGGTTTTGTTTCCTCCTCATCTACTGGTCAAGGAACTGTGACAGTTTAGTCTGCGGGCTCAGCTATTAGCTGTCTTGTGCCAAAGGAGATTCCCAGAGCCGTGGCAGCTGTGGAGAAATGCATCCAGAGCTAGAAAGACAGGGAAACTGGGGAACTGACAGAGAGAAAATATAAACCGAACAGTCATGCCTACCTTGATTCCAAAGCAACAAACACATCACTATGTAAAATACTTGCCCTGATCCACTTAAACCTATTGTGAGTGCCCTGATGGAATTATGGGAAAATATATGTTGTTATCCCTTAGAATTTAAGTCCTATGAGGGCAGATATTTTTGCCTGGTTCATCATTGCACCCGCGGCAGCTAGAACAGTGCAGGCCGTGTTTATCGTAGAAGTGGAGGTGACGGGAGTGATGGTGGGTTTGACAGCAGAGGCTGTGAGGGAGGAAATGGTGGAGGTGAGTATGGAGGTGGTGGGGATGGTGGAGGTGGAATCAGTAGCATTGCGGTGGCGGTCACGGATGGTGAGAACTTCCTAAGATGGGTTTTGCTGTCTCGGAAGCAAAGGGGACAAAAGACGTGCCCCAGAATTAGAAAGCGTTTGACAGAAGCCCCCACAAGGTAGCTCAGGCGCTGCTTCTAGCTGAGTCTGCAGATGGAGGACTTCTTCAGATTTCAAGGACCAGAGTCAGCAAACCGCCACTTCTTGTTCATGCAAGTTGGAGTTCCTGTAAGTGCGTTCCCTGCTTCTGAAGCCTCAGGCCCCTCATTTCCCAAAGCCTGTTAAGCCAGCTCTGGCCCTACATGACGATGGAGCCTGTGGCTGGTCACTGCCTGGGCACCCTCACTGCAAGGTTCAGATGCCCCTGGGAGCTTTATTGGAAAACTCCAACGAGCGGGTCTAATCAATCCAGGTCTCCCCCTGAACCTCCCAATGGCTTCCCAGGCACAATGGGCTAAAACCCTGCCCAGGCCACAGCTGCCTTCCCCTCCTGCCCACCACTTCTGTGCCCTGATCCCCCTTCAGGGCCTAATCCACACAGCCCATCTCCTGTGTGCTCTTCTATAAACCCACAGCACCATTCTGCCCTCTCTACCCATCCCCGCCTCTTCTTCATTCCTCACTCCTTTCTCTTCCTGGAAAAATCTTTGTTCATTCTTTGAAATCCCTTCAAGACAACTTCACAGCCACCCTCCACTCCTAAAACACTCACCTGGAGCCCTGTTTTCTCTTCCCTCACCCTGGAAGCATGCTCCTCCTTAGTTCCCACGTGCCATTGGAGCAGGTCCCCGTCCCAGCACACACCTGGTTCCGTGGAATCACACGGACGTGCCTGTTCTCCACCTCTGCATGTATGACTATGCACATCGGAGAACAGAACCGGAACGTGTACCTAGAGCGGAGCTGCCACAGCCTCAAGGATGATTCTTTTTCTTTTCCACTTAATAGTACAGATGGCAAGCTGTGTCTACACTGGCACGTTACCTGAAATGACAGGAACTTAAAAAAAAAAGTAAGTAAATATAGAGAGACCAAATAATATCTGTTCCTCTGATCAGAGACTGTAACTGTGTGCCCTGGAAGGAAGCATAACTCTACTTAGTCCTTAAGAACAAAGAGATCTGTTGAGACTTCAGAATTTCTACACAAGGTGAGGGAGGGCAGTTAGGTCCTGCAGCATGATGGCTGGGTGTGCAGGTGGGCTGGGGGGCTGCTAGCAGACTTGTTGAAAGTTTCATTTGCTCAGCAAGGATTCTCTTGTTGAGAAGGCATTTCATTTGTGTACTTGGGAATAGTGGTGGTTGGAGAGGGTTCTGATGTACCCCTCTAGAGTTAGTGCCACCTACAGAGGGACAAAGAAAGGAGCAGAGAAACTCCAAGTGCACATCTTGTGAGGAAGAAGTAGCCATTTGCTCTGGAAGATACCCACTGTGGTTTAACATTTCCTAGGCACATAGCTCTGCATGTACATATATTTGGAAGTAGAGGGACACTAGGAATCTGTGACATGGCTCTTTGTTTGCTTGAGTTTCCAAAGCTGTCAAATGAGGGCTCTGAACTCGAGGGTCACTGAGAAATGGTACTTCAGAGAGGTGAGAACCATTACAAAACGTGCGAGGGCACCGAGGAAGCCCTCTACTACTATGTCAATAGACCCTGTAATAGAACTCCAAGTTTTTAAAAATGGAGAGAAAACAGCAGACCTAGATATCTATAAGGGACCAGACAATGAGGGGCAGGAAATAAGGGCACTGTGTCCAATTATACTACACAGCAGGCACAGAGGCCCTTTTCAAGACGCCAAGCTACTTTTCATTTACCTAAAGCCTTGAGATCAGCAAGGGGATTTCCGCTGTGGGAGCGAGGGAAGGAATTGAGATAGTAGAGTCCTTGGTTAAGGCAGCTGCGGATGAATGTTGAGTTGGAGAGAAAAGAAAGAAGACAGTGGTGCAGAGAATCAAGTCTTCAGGCGAGTGAATGCGGGTGGGGTGGGGATTTCACTGCTGTGTTTCTTTCCCCCTCTCCGTTTTCTTTACTGGGATTCTTGGCTCCGTAACAGGGATGAAGTAATCAGACTACAAATATTGTCTCTCATTATCGTTACTAATTGTATTATTATTGTCGTGTTGTTTTGTTATTATCATCAAGAAAACAGGGGCAAGTAGAATGAGTAATGAACTTTAGGGTGCAAAATTCCTGGAGAAGTGACTAAAACACCAATGCTTTGTAGGTGTGCAGCGAGGCACAGAGAAATGAGGACAGGGAGAGAAGGCGAGCCCTGGAAAGAATGAGAAGGACACAGCGATGCTAATCACCAAAGGCTGACCTACGAGGGAAGCTTTTCAAGCAAGGGGAGTCGGTACGCACGGCCCCAACACTGGGACTCTTTCAATCTTTCTCTATTGCTGCAGCAATTTGGAAAAATGAGCAGTGACAATGAGCTGTCATAAAAATTACATACAAAATCTTCACTATTGGAGATTATAGTTATCAAGGGCTCATAGGATTAACAAAGAGGGGGAGCCAGAGAAACTTCAATGAGAAGAAAAATTGTGCTTACTTACTTTGTTCCTTTATAATGTCTTTTGAACATTTTTAATTTAATGTGAAATTTCAGAAGAATGGTTCTGTTGGTTGAATAGGAATGGAGTGTATGCAAAATACTGAGCTTTGTGCGAACCCAGAACATTTTTCTAAGCAAAAGCCCAAGGAACTGGAAATCACATGAAAAGCTTCACAAAGAAAGTCCGAGGAAAGCGACAGTGTGTGCACACGTGTACGCGTCTTTCATCAAAAAGCCCTATGCTGTGCCAGCCCACAAAACTAGTGCTAAGGAGGGAGTGCTAGCTGCACATAATCTCTACTGGCCTAGAAACTCCAGAAGGAAATGTGTGAATTCCTAAACAGAGCCCTAATTGTTTGAGAATGATCGTAATTGGTTAGTCAATGTAGAACTTTCGGCTTGTGTTTCCCCAATGATCCATGAACGGTCAGCTAAGCTAACTTGTTCTTCAGAGCCCCTCTCATGGAGGTGAGGTCTAGACCCTGCCACATACCATCTCCTGGTTTCCATGAAGAAAGCCTAGGCCTGCTGCCCCAAGCTAGCATCTCTGTTTCTATACGTTTTCCTAGAGGCTTTCTCATCACAACATGTTATACAACCCGTATCAACATCATGTCCCATTTGGTCAAAAGGCATTTCCAATCCAGTGCTTCCTAACCTCTTTTAGGGGAAGTATTACATGCAAGTTAACATTTCCATGTCCTGACAGATCAAATGAGGAGATCCAGCCAGAAAGCACTGAAAAGCTCATGACAAACCAGGTCACTTTCTATTATATTTACATTTCAATAATAGGGTCCTTTAAGGGCTCCTCTTAAAGATGGTTTACAATATCCCATGTCAGCTTTTCTCTTGAATTGCACTCTACTTATATCAGGATTACTGTGTGCATAGTTGAGTAAACTGTGCTCTGTTACACACAGCAGGGTGGCAGGTAATTGGGGGTGGGGGTAGGGAAGACTGAAGCATACAACTAGACCCACCCAGGAGGACAGGAGGGGAGCTGAGGGGTACAGAAATGTGATGTCCCACCATGGAGGCCAGTAGAACCACGAGAGGCAGTCCAGAGTGAAGGTTAGACAAGTAGGCAGATGATCTTAGGCAGGCCATTCAGTGGCATAAAAGGCCCTTAACTAGGTAGCCTGGGCTCAGGAGCTCAGTCCTAGAATTTGAGAGAAAGACTAGAGAAAACAAAAACAGGGATGAAAATTTAAACAATAGTATTTGGAAGCCACTATGTCCATGGAGTCAGCCTTACAAAAGGACTTTTCTTATTGGAAGCAGGACTCACAACACGGAAGAAGTGAGGAAGGATTATGTGGCCCAGGAACCCAAAAAGAAATGTCTATTGTTCAAGTGGGGCCATCAGAGATCTGGGAGAGGAAAGGTAAGTTTTAGGGGTGAAAAAGGAAGCTAGCGGTCAGGGCAGCACACTTGGGTCATAACTGTATGACAGCCCAGGAGGTGAGGTCCAGTCACCAAGAAATGCATGGCGCACCATGTTGTGTGCCTGTGTGGGGGGTTGGGGGGTTGGGGGTGGGGAGAGTGATGGTGAGGATATTATGTGGAATTGCTTAAATATTCACTACCATGAAGGAGGATTCACCTGGGAGCTAGGGGGAGGCTGAGCTTGCAGGTGCCAATTTCACAGAGCCGCAGGCAGAGTTGGAGGAATTCAACTATCCTTAGGTTACTCCAGGCTCTGCACAAGTTATCCCCTATCCCTCTACCAGCTACCAACTAATCTGACTCTATGTCTAGAGTCAGAATCGTCTTTAGCACTTGGCTTCCTCTTAAATAAACTGGGTGCAAACATCCTTCACTGTTTAAGTTTCAAAAGAGAGATCTACTCTAGTCAGCCTCTAGTTTGTGAACACTGAGAAAATGCCCAGCTTTCTTATAAGTTGTGCTCAGTTTTTGTTGGCTATTGGTCAAGCTCAGTTCTTCATGCAGGAAGCATTGATTGAGTCCTCTTATGTGCCATAGACTGTCCTAAATGTCAGGGTAGCCATGGTGAATAAGCAATATCCCCTGCGTTTATGGAGTTTCCAGGTTAGAAGAAGAGGAAAAAACATTAATAGATGGTTTCAGTTCAGTGTGGTAGTGAGTGGCAAAGGTGCCTATCAAGTCTTGGGAAGAGACTTGTTCAGAGACAGCTTTCTAGAAGGATTAGGAACAAACTGAGAGTTTTGCATGTACAGGGACCCTATTATGGGAGAGCCTGGTGTCTCCATGGAGCAGTGAGCTATTTGAGAAATGGCTTTTCTATTCTTTCAATGTGATCATACTTAAGAGGAAATCATCATAGGCACAGGATGATTTACAAGGCCCCTATTTCCTGACTTATGTAAAATGAAAATATGATTAATGTTCTGGTATTCGTGACTACTATGAATAATGCTACCAGAAAAGACCTGTAAGAGTCGAGATTAGTTAGCCTCTCAAGAAGGTGATCGCAAGGAACCCTGGTTAGATATAAAATTTTACCACACTCATAAAATCTATGTTGAACTTAATGCAATCAAGTGTTGAGAGAACTGGATCAGAAGTGGGGCTTCTCAACTTGCCATTTCCAGTTTTATCACAAAGCGTCCCTGTGCCAGTGGAAAATCATTACGTGGCCTCTATGACCTCATTTCTAAAATAAAAGAATGATTACGATTTCCTACTAGTTGTGAAAGACTGTGATCCTGCCCCAATATTATTCTGAGGATGGTGTTATAGTCATTCATGATGATCTGAAAAAGATGACTTAGAACATAACGTTCTTTTTGAGAAATCTAGTTCAAGACAATAGAGAGGATGTAATAAATTATCTGCCTTATGGTAAAAATAAACTCCAGTCAAATATATGTGGCTAATGCCTGGGTAAGAGTGCTTAAAGCTATTTGACTATTTATACTAAATAGGTAATGACCAGGCTGTACAACCAGGCATGTTCAAATCATATGCTCTTCAGTCCACCTGTCACATCATGGGTAGGACAGACACATATTTCAAGAAGGCAGCGCTATCGAGTACTTTGAAGAAAAGAATAAAAGGTCCCTCTGGTCAAAAAAATCTCTCCCACTGCCCCAGTATAGCCCCTGATACTCCCAGCATAATTTCTTGGGGATTAAAGGTAGATCCTCAATTCTTTATCTTTCTTTGCTTTGAGCCTCACAGGACTGTGAGGATTAACTAAAATGTTTCTGGAAATGTGACTGGCATGCAATACATAGTCAATCAACAAACATTAGTTCCCTTCCCTTTCTTCCTGTGGCATCTCCCTCCCTCCACAGCCAGGCCCTTTCCCTTGCTCTCTCCCCAGTGAGCCTTCTCCTTCACCTTCTCTGTGTTCATCCAGATTCAGTTTGTGTCATTCAAGGGTCTCAGATGCAATCAGCCAAAGTCCACTCTGACTCTTCTGAGCTAAAAGGGAAAGGTTACCAGGGGTTTCTATGATGATGAATTATGGAAAATGAAATGGACCCCAAGGATCCCCAAAGGGCCCAGGGCCACATTGCAGGAACCCTCTGGTCTGCACACTACCACTATAGCTGCAACCTATCTAACCACCGAGTAGCCCCTGTCCTTGGGCATTAAGTCTACATTCTGAGCCCACAGACCGCGCATCTACTTGGTGCGGCTTAGGTCACAGGCTGGCCCCCCAGGCTGCAGCCAGTCAAGCTGAGGTGGGAGAAGACCCACTGGCTCCAGCCTTGGGAGGCAGTAGGGGAAGAGGTGTCTGGAATTAGCTTCGCAGCAGAAAAGCGTCCTCAATGAGGAAGTCCACCAAGGAAACAGGAGGGCACTGATGCGAAAAGAGATTGGATGCTGAAGAGCCCCGGCACCACCAGTGTTCCCCGCAAAATCCATTCTCCAAACTTTGCAGAGCCTCTGCCCCGCGCAAGGGCTCCCCTGACTGACTTGTCCTTGGCCTGCGCATCACTCCCCTGAGCCCCTTCCAGTATGTCTCTACCCTGAACATTTTCTCAGGAATGTTCACATTTCAGGAAAAGTATCACACTACCCTGAACACACTGTTCGACACTCTGCTGTCTCCTCGACTAGCTTCTGACTGTATTGTCCGACTCTGCCTGTATCTCTTCCTTGGACAGAGCCCACCGTGACTCTCAGGAGGCTCCCATTGGTTGGGGAAGAGAGCAGACACACGACAAAACCTGAAGGAACCAAGGCAATCAGGAATGCCCAGAGTCTGGCCCTGCCCGGGAGCATGGACGCTGGCGGACATCACAGTGAGCCAGGAGCCACCGTGAGGTTTAAACTCCTTGCGTAAAACCGGATCCCGTGTATCTTTGCCTGTCAGTGAGTCTATACGCTGCTTCCATGGAAGGTTCTTGAGTCCGACTACCTGGTAGCTCTGTTAGAATTCTGGAAATCACCACCAAGTGAACTCCAAAGAGAGCTAAGCAGAAGCCATGTTATTAGGAAAGACATATCTGAAAAAATAAAGCTCCCTGGATTAACACAATTCCCAAATAAAATCCAGAGAAGAAAGCATTCTTTGACAAAATGAAGATTTATTTTGAGCCAAAAGCTAATATCTCCCTAAAGTTTTAAATCAGATCGATGGTGCTTGCCTACTCTAGGATTACTTAGCACTACCTTCTTAGCACTGAGCAGTGCTAGAAGAAAATATTAAGTTATTTTTAGATGATATGATGGCGCACTTACAGAGCTGAAGCGATGGTCAGTTCAAAAGAATCATAAAGATTTATCTCTTACTTTCTTTTCTAATTAGTTCCTAAAAGTAAATCTGTTTGAAAGTTAAACAATAGATTTACATGTTCTAAAGGTTTGATTCCAAGAAAGCACAGAATTTTAAAAATTAAACTAATTTAAATTGTATAATGTTTAGCCACGAATGTTCTAGAATCATCCATTATGGCTTTAAATTCTTAAACAGTTTTGGCAGTTATCCAGGTAGTAAAATTAATTTTCAAAAGAAATTTTTACCCCAAAATTGTAAGTTTTTTCTTTCGGTCAAAGTATTATCTAGAATTCCAAAGGACTGATTTTACTGTTGAAAATAAGGTTTGTTTTTTTTAACACTATATATTATTTCCCATTATATGAATTGGTTTTCACTTGCATTCAGGCATTCTTCAAATTCTGTGCATACATCTTTCTAAAAACATGTGTTTTCATGCATAGATCACTGGCACTTCAAGCCACATTTGCTGTCTATTTAGACTTTCAGATGTAACTCCATTAATATACATTTTTACTTGCCCAACTAGGAGTTCAATCTCAGTAACATTGCCATCAGTACATATGCAGTAGTGTTTGTGCAATTAATTGAATGCATTACTGATTTTTTTCGCATGAAATATTGTGTAAAAGTAATACAAAAGTCATAAAAAAAAGTAAATGTTAATACTGATAATGGTGCAAATGGATTAAACATCAAAACCAGAACGATAAAAGAATTTCTGGTCTAGCCATAGGATGCAATATTATGCAGGCATTAACACCATGATATCTGAGAACATCTACTCTCATCTGGAAATATTCATGACACATTTTTAAGAGAAAAAGCCAGATCAAAACTCTACCTACATACAACCTTCATTTTGTACAGTAGCCTTCTTTCCTGCCATCTTCTCATAGCTGTACAGAAAAATGAACTTTTCTTCACTTCTCTTTCAGGGGGTGGGTCCAAGTTCTCAACCACAGAAGCAGTATTACGACCTAAAGAGATCAGAAGGAACCCAGGCAGGGGCACTGGAGTAATAGTAGCAATAACAGTACACCTCAGAGAATGCAGGTGCAATGGGCTACTTTTCACTATAGGTTTTACAGAAAAAAAAAACAATATCTAGCATAAGGTTAGTAATATATTAGCAACAAATCCACACAGGCTGTTTGGAAAGCCAAGATCCCATAACAGTGGAATCAGAGGCATTCTTTGGCCACAAAATCAGGTCAGAAGAAGGATGACTTAGGACACTAGCCAAAAAATATTTAGGTGGGTCCCAGGAGTGGAAACTTTTGTCAGGTAAGTGAACTATTTGGAGAGGGAAGAAGAAATGGACCAGGAAGACTGCTCAGATCACTTAATGATGGATTCCCAAAGATCTGAACATTCTAACCCCAAATGTTATATCTCATAATTATGTATCATTTGTATGTAATTCTGGCAAATTATAAACTTGTTTCTCAGCGTCTATTCAAAACAAGCAAACTTTTGTTAGTTGCTATGTTGACAAGAGCACATTATTTAGCAAATGTGTTCAGTGGAATCATTGCTTTTAGTTTCCCAGCAGTTCTGAACTTCTGTCTACATCATTTTAAACTTCCTTAGAAGCACAAGTTATGAATAAGAGCTCACATTTATTAAGCATGCTGCTAAGTCCTTTGCACACATTACTTCATCTAAACCTCTTGTTAGTATTATTGTCTTGTATTGTTTTTATTATCTCTCTTTTAGCCCCTTTCATATGGTCTGGCAGTCTCCAGAGAAGCTTCACATTTTTAAATCTCCCAGCATGTGACATGTAGCTCAAAAATAAAGAAATTACCCTATAAACTTCAATTTGCTTTCATTGAGAATTTCAATGACTTTCCATTTAAATGGGTGACCTCCACAAACTAGTTTAAGCTGCTACAAATGAAAAATGCAAATAAAACATCTGCTTCGAACTGATTCCCCACTCATTCTTCTAACTTCAGCAGAGGAAAGATTAGGAAGTTTTGGAAATCATTTGAATGCCAATTGCTTTGATCATACACGCTGTTGGGATCCCATGAGCTTTTAGGAGGTAAAATCCCTCTGAGATTTAAGACAAATAGAATATAAACAAGATGACAGGCGAAAGAGACTGGACACTCCAGGTGAAATGTCTGAGGAATTGGGGTGGTGTAATATACTGCAGCAGAGGGAGGGATGAATGTGAGGCATAACTCAAGGTGGGAAAGAGACCCGAGAAGGAAAAATCTCATTCATGCCGAATATATCTTCTTTAGAGACTCAGCAGTCATGTCGAAATAAGTGAGCCAGTGTGAGAAAGTCCCCTTGGCTTCTTGACAGGCACAGGAGCCAAGGAAATATGGAAGGACAGTGCAACCTAGTGATCAGTATACAGCGGACGCACAACGCTGCTCAGACAAGGTGGGTCACAGCAGACATTCAACTGTTACTTATTGGTCCTTTTGGTCCAGGTTTCCAATTTTTTCACATGACATTTGAAAGGTTGGAGCAATATGTATGGCACTTGTCTCTGGAACTGGCAGCTGTTTTGTCCCATGTAGTCATCCCACCAAAATAAAATGAGATGGAGCAGAGAATCAGACACGTGGGAAGACCCAAGCTCATGTCTGCCAATTGCTGGCTGTGTGACCTTGGGCAACTTACTCAATGTCTCTGAACCATCTTTGTCCCTTTCCTTAAAAAGCAGCAGGTGCCCGGGAGGGGAGTTTTTGTTTGTAAAGTGTATAAAACACCGTAGTGGATCATTAAGCATAGCTACTGACTTTATGGTTATTAATTCTTATACAAAGGGTTTGGAGGGTTTTTTTGGAGAAGGAGCCAGGACATTGCTTTGAAGAAAAATTGTTAAATGTTGTAGGTATATATGCATCATTTCATGTGAGAGGCTTGTAGATTTTAGGCTATAACATGTAACTTTAATATCTTATTAGTTGGCTTCTCCTACTCAGCAAACATTTATGTTTTTAATATGATATACTTATCCATTATTCTCTTTCATTTTACCTTCCTTATTTTTTTTTTCCTGCAATGTAGTTCCAGAGATTCCACAGGAATCAAGGATGGAGCACTAAAGCACTGACTCTTAAACTCTTCTGGGGTGGCACAAATCATTTGTTTTCAAGTTTAGTTTGAAGTCACATTCCCTGGACATTTGGGGGAACATAAAGGATTTACAGCAGGTATATGATTATGGAAAAATTTAAGGAAATCAGTTTCTAGATAGTCATCTTCCATGTAACAGGCTCTTTTAGGAAACCAATTTGTCTAAAACTCACTTGAATGCCCATTAGATATTTTAATTCAATATAAGAAAGGCATTCATCTCAATTATTCCCAGACTTAGTGTGGCCCAGTGTCCTGAGGAATGTAACCCTTTTAACCATCAAGCAAAGAGAAACTTCCTGTAATGATTATAATCAAGCTACAGTACACTCATAAACTAAATCTACTGCAAGCACTTGGATCCTTCTATTCCTTGGCAATTGTCAAAATAGCCCAAGGAGAAAAAGAGAAATAGTATACTAAAAACTGCTTTGGTTTTTCACATAGCTAAATGGAAGCAATTCCCTTCAGCTATGCTCAGCATTTACCCTCAGGGCAAGTCAAGAGCTGGAAAGCAAAGTTCCTTCAAAACAGCATAAAGGGGAACCCTCCTGCACTGCTGGTGGGAATGTCAACTAGTTCAACCACTGTGGAAAGTAATATGGAAGTTCCTCAAAAAACTGAAAATAGAAATACCATTTGACCCTGTAATTCCACTCCTAGGAATTTATCCAAAGAAAACAAGTTCTCAGATTCAAAAAGACATATGCACCCCTATGTTTACTGCATCACTATTTACAATAGCCAAAATATGGAGGCAACCTAAGTGTCCATCAGTAGATGAATGGATAAAGAATATGTGATATATATATATACACAATGGAATACTATTCAGCCATAAGAAAGAAACAAATCCTACCATTTGCAACAGCATGGTTGGAGCTAAGGGGTATTATGCTCAGTGAAATAAGTCAGGTAGAGAAAGACAAATACCAAATGATTTGTCTCATTTGTGGAGTATAACAACAAAATACAACTGAAGGAACAAAACAACAGCAGACTCACAGACTCCAAGAAGGGACTAGCAGTTACCAAAGGGGAGGGGTGGGGGAGGGCGGGTGGGGAGGGAAGGAGAAGGGGATGTGGGGTATTATATTTAGTACACATGGTGTGGGGAATCATGGGGAGAACACTGTATCACAGAGAAGGGACATACTGGATCTCTGGCGTCTTGCTGCACTGATGGACAGTGACTGCATTGGTGTATGGGTGGGGACTTGATAATATGGGTAAATGTAGTAACCACATTGTTTTTTCATGTTGAACCTTCATAAGAGGGTATATCAATCATACCTTAATAAAAAATTTAAAAAAAAAGATAACATAGGAGAAAAATTTGATATCCTTGGTTATGGTGACACCTTTTTAGCTATGATACCAAAGGCACGATCCTTAAAGGAAAAAATAAGCTGAACTAAAATAAAATATCTGCTCTTTGAAAGACAATATCAAGAGAATAAAGTGACAAGCCACACTGGAAGAAAATATTTGCAAAAGATGCATCTGATAAAGATCTATTATCCAAAATATGCTCCAAAACAACTCTTAAAACTCCACAATAAGAAAACAAACAGAGCAATTAAAAAATGGCAAAAGACCTTAACAGACATTTCACCACAGAAGATATACAGGTGGAAAATAAACATATGAAAACATTTTCCATATCAGATGTCATCAGCAAAATGCAAATTAATAGAAGATATTTCTACTCATCTAGTAAAATGGCCAAAACCCAGAACATTTTGAGATACCAAATGTTGGTGAGAATGT